ATCACATAGATATGTCATTGGAAAAGAGGTCCCACAGCACCCCTAAAATGGTCTTAAGGGTGCTTCCCCAAAGTCTAAGACCACACGTTGAGAAATGGCATTCTGACTGCCCTGTGTGAATCTCTGCTCACTTTTCGGAAATACACACCTCTATTCCCAAGCCCATCGTCTCTCCCCATTGCAATAACCATCTCTCCCCTGGTTATCCAAGCTCCAGTCATGGAGGGCCCGTTTCTTTGAGATGCCTCCAGTCATGGAGGGCCCGTTTCTTTGAGATGTCGTGTGCTGATGTGTGCTGGGTCCGGCAGCTCAGTAGGGAGCCGAGAGTGACTCAGCCACACTCTCTGAGTGTCACTCCCCACCAGCAGTGACTCAGATGCACCTGCTGGTGTTCCCAGACGTCCTGATGAGGAACTGTCCACAGGCACAGTTCCTGGAGGTGGCACCGTTAGACCTATCATGAGGAAAATGGGATTGTCCTCAATGCCTCATGCTTTTTAGGGTGAACCAGCCCCTCCAAGACTAGTGCAGTGCACAGGAGGGGCCGCAGGGACCACACCCGGATCTGATTCTTCTGCTTCCCTGGCATGTGCAGCAGGCCCCCAGTGCCTCCTCCCATTCTGTGTCTTCCTGAGAGCAAGGGCAGGCCATGGGTGCAAAGTCAGAGAGGAGCCTGTTCCCAGGGCTGTGGCCCAGGCTGCAGCCTCATGAGACACCTGAGGATCTGGTGAACTCTTCTCCCTCACACCCAGCCCCGAGGGTAGTCCCAGCAGCCGGTGACACCATCTTCCCAAATAACCTGGCTTGGGGAGGAGGCATGGAGAGGACATCAAGGAGGCAGGAAGTGGCCCAAGGTCCTCAGGACTATGAAGTGCCCTCAGTTAGCACAAGCATCCTGTGAACCTAGGTGGGGTCGAAATAAAGCAATAATGTGTGCCATGACCTTTGGCCAGCCTCTCTCTGGCTTTCCCTGTTGTAGCCCTGGGACCTTGGGGAGCCCCACCCAGCTGGAATTCACAGGGTGGGCCAGCGTTGGCGTGACTCACAGTGACCCTGAGCTGCCTTTCTGGGAGACCCTCCTCCTTCCCTTCCCATCCTGCCTCTACGCTCCTTTTCCCCTCCCAAGCAACAACCTCAGGAACCCGGACAGCACTTCAGAGAGGCAGAGCCACAGTCAGCAGCTAGGCACCCAGGGAAATGGCACAGGAAATAGCAGGAGAGTGGCCTCCGGAGAGAACATTTGGCATCTTCACAGACCTGCCCAGCCTCCTGGGTTGGCATCTGGGATTTTCTTGCTCCTTCCAGGGACAGCCTAGACTGGCTTGGAGATGTAGGGGGTCCAGGAAGATGGGGCAGGGCTGGTAGGAATGCAAGAAACCCAGGCAGTCATCTAGTCCAGAGCTTTCAAGCTTTTCTTTGGAAGAGAACTGCATTCGTTTGTCTGTCTTTCTTGTTTGTTTGTAACCAGGAGCTGCTCTGTAAGAGCTGCTGGCTCCTCTCACTTCCCTCTTGTCCACCCCACCCCCTGACCCTCAGCCCCAAGATGTTGGAACAGACTTTAACAATCACTAGTGCAGTTCATCTGCCCATTTCACAGATGGGGAAATGGATCCTAAGAAGGAAGTCTCTTGCCACAGACTTACAGTGAGTTGGGGCTGGTCAGGGCCTAAAACCCAGTGCTATTTCCCAGGGTCATTCACCGACAGACAGCAGGGACAGCCATAACGGGGAGACCACTAGGTGCCAGGGGTGCGCACAGAGAAGGGTGCCCAGGAGCAAAACAGGAGGGACAGAGGCTGGCATTAAGTCACCAGCCACAGAGGAGCAGCCCAGCCTGCTCGACAGACTGTAAAAGAAAAATAACTCCATGCCTTCGGCCTCCTCCGCGTGGCCTCCAGTCCAGCCTCTAACAATGGGAATAACCACCCTTCTGTTTCCACCTGATCTGCCCTCCTTCCCCAGTTCCCTGTCTCAAGCTATAGACAAGGTCTGGCTGGCAAGCTGGGTACTGGGCCACAGCCCGTTTAACCACTCAGGCCCTCTGAGACCGCAGAACACAAGCCCTTTGACTTTCAGCTTTCCTGTGTCCCCAGACTCCTTGTGCCCACAGAGGGCAGTGCTGTGATTTTGCACATTAGTGGGTGATAGTTTGTGTTCTGGGATCTCTCGTGTCCACACAGTTCCAACACACCCTCCTGACCATGAGGCCAGCCTGGACTCTGTGTGCCCAGGTCCCTGCCCAGCCCCTGATTCCCGTATTTTTCTTTTCTTTTCTTTTCTTTTTTTTGAGACAGAGTTTTGCTCTTGTTACCCAGGCTGGAGTGCAATGGCGCAAAGTTGGCTCACCGCAACCTCCACCTCCTGGGTTCAGGCAATTCTGCCTCAGCCTCCTGAGTAGCTAGGATTACAGGCACACACCACCATGCCCAGCTAATTTTTTGTATTTTTAGTAGAGACAGGGTTTCACCATGTTGACCAGGATGGTCTCGATCTCTTGACTTCGTGATCCACCTGCCTCGGCCTCCCAAAGTGCTGGGATTACAGGTATGAGCCACCGCACCCGGCGATTCCCGAATTTTTCTAGGGACAGAGCTCATGGCTTTTGACACATTCTCAAATGGGTCTGTGGTCCAGGAGACTGAAAACCCCTGCAGAAGGGGAGGATGGGTCTTCCAGGGAAGAGGGGTCACAAATGAAGTAGAAAGGGCACTGCAGCTTCCTCTCTTCCCTGCCAGAGACTTTACATGTATTGCTTGGTCTCGTTTCCTTTACCTCCTTGTGATGCTTGGGTCACTGTCCCCATTTCTCAGATGATGAAACTGAGGCTCAGCAATGTCAAGTTGCTTGCTTCAGGACACACCCCTGGCTGAGGGATTGAAAAAGCCGGGGCAGGGCCAGAGGTCGAAGGTGAGTAATGCACCTGCTTCTACAAGGGGGTGCAGCTCTAGAATCTGCACCGGCCAGTGCTTCAGAAGCCTCCCACGACTGCATCCATGCCAGACCTTGGGCCCCCAGGTCCTGGTTCCCAGCAAACCTGGCACAGGTCCTGGCAGTCTGCCTCCAAGGTTAATTCTTGCCACGTGGAAAACACAGTCCTCACAACTGGTCTCTTATGTCCTCATTGAAGCATGAATGAAGCTATAATGAGGGTGGGGGCAGAGTGCCCCCTCACCACTGCAGGTAGGACCCAGCTGGCAGGTGGGCTCCAAGGGGCTTCCCCCAGGAAGCTCCTCCAACCCCCGGGCATGACACTCAGGCCCTCCAGAGCCCCCGGCAAAGACTCTTTATTTGCTTGTAGCAATGTCAGCTGCCAGACCACAGAGCCCATCCCTGCCCTCCATCTGCCCAGCTCACCCGCCCTCTCATCATCCCTTGGCCGATAAGAGCAGTGCAATCTGCAGAACAGGCCCAAGGCTGAGGCCGCATCCCGCCCCCATCCTTCCTGAAATTCCAATAGCACAGAAGGCGTGGGCCTTTGTGTCTCCATCTGTAGACAGTGTATGATGATGTCCAGCCTGCTCGCCTTCCAGGGATTTCTAAGAATCACGTGGGGAAGTTATTTTAAAAGTTTAGACTACAAACAAAATGACAAGGAGGAAACTCAGCTGGTCACCCACACATTCCCTGCCCAGATGTCCCATCCCCAGGGTGCTAGACCCTAGCCATCTGGGCCAGGAGCCTTTCTCCTCTGGGCTGTGCTGGGGCAGCTGCGGGAGTCCCCAGTGAGGACAGCCCACAGTGGGTGGCTTTGCCCCCCTACCCAGGGATGCCTCTTGTTCCCCAGGATGGTATGAGGACAGTCCCCAGATGGGAATGTCATCATTGCCTAGTCTGTGCAAGGCACCAAACTGGGGGCAGGGACTGCAGTGCAAGATCATACCCAAGGATGGCAGAAATTGGAGGGGGTGGCCTTAAGGAAAGTGAGCAGCTGTACCCACCCCTTTCACATGGAGTGGCATGAAGCATGGTCCCCACCCCAGCGCAGCCGCATCGCGTTTCGTTCCTTCTCCAAAGCAGATCACTCCATTTTAAGCTCAGGGGTCTCATGACCTACTTTAGAGGAAGGTCACAGGATTCTTCAGGGCCTGCTTCAGGGGAGAACAGCACTCAGAGAGACTTTCCTGCGTCGGCTGCCTCCTCAGGTGCCAGGGTGCCATATTCTGGGGTGGTGATTTCTGAGCCTCCAAACCCGATCCCTCCCTCAGACCCAAGGGAGCTCTGCTCCAGCGGTTTCTGCTGTGGCCCTGCCGCACTCGGTGGCACTTGCCTCCCATTGGAGAGGGAGGACTCCACTCAGTAACTTTCTCAGGGAGTCCTGGTGGGGTTTCCCTCTGGGTGCCTGGCAGGCTCTCCTTAGAATCCCACCACTCAGAAACCCCCAAGGCAAAAGAACACTGGGGCTGCATCAGCTACAGAAGGAGCAGTAAAAATAACATCGGAAGCAGGAAGAAAACACAAATATCAATAAACCATTCTGTCATAAGGGAGCTTTGGGCCGGGCGCAGTGGCTCACACCTGTAATCTCAGCACTTTGGGAGGCCGAGGCAGGTGGACACCGGAGGTCAAGAGTTCAAGACCGGCCTGGCCAACATGGTGAAACCCTGTCTTAAAAAATAATGAAATTTAAAAAACAAGGCAGTTTTGCCAATTCCAAATTTTGCCATGATGGAGAAGCAGCTGCTCACACCGCAGTGGGCTACCCTTGGATTCCTCTCTAGAAAACCAGAGAGACAAAGGTCAGGGGCTGTGCTAGGAGAGGGCCACAAGCGAGGACCTGCAGAAACTGTGGAGCCTGCAGAGGCCAGTCCACCCTCGTCCTCAGCTCAGAGGTCAAGGCAAACAGGCAGGGCCTTCCCCAGCCCAAGGAAAGTTCTGCAGACTCTCCCGCCAGGGCTCTGCAAGGCAGAGTCACTCCAGGGGCCTGTGCCTACTTCTGGGGATGCTGGGCAAGCTGGGTGGGACAGCCAGCCCTGACCTCTGGGCATCCTTTGCTCTTGCAGGACCTGGGCATGGAGTCGACCTCGCTGGATGATGTTCTGTATCGCTACGCCAGCTTCCGGAACCTAGTGGACCCCATCACACACGACCTCATCATCAGCCTGGCACGCTACATCCACTGTCCGAAGCCGGTAAGGTGGCTGTGGTCCAAGCCAGCCAGGTCCTGGGGTGTGCCGTGGGTGCCTTTCTGGGCAGAGCAGCTCTGTGCCCAAAGAGGACTGGCAGACACTGCCCAGGCCCAAGGAGGATAAGCCAATCCTTCAGGCACCAAGAGCCTGAGGTGCTCTCCCTTGGTGCCACCAGCACAGAGTGGTTTTGTTTGGCCCAGAGGGGTGAATTCATTGCCAACACTTAAAAACCAGAGTTTTTCACATGATCCCTATATCCAGCTGCCCTTGAAAACTGAAGTTCCAGCAACCTGAAGCCCTCATTTCTGCAGGGCTGCAGCTAAGTAGCCATCCCTGTTATATGGGCCAAGTCACCACACACAGTTGTACAGGTTGTACCTTGTACAAAAACATGCACACAGAGAGGTGGTGGGGTAGGAGGAGGCAGGGGAAAGTTCAAATCCAGCCCTCTCTCTACCCACCAAGTCGTGAGCCCTGGTGCAAGCCTGTGTACCCTGGAGGTAAACCTGTTTGCACAAAGGTGTCATAGAAGGCTGGCGGTGGCCCTGCAAGGGGGTGTCCACTTTGCCTCAGTCCCCACCACTCCCAGATGTCTTTACCTCTGAGGCTGAGTATTCTTTGACATCCTCCCCTTCACTCATGTCCTTTTCCTGCCTTGCCCTGGAGCTCGGAAGGGAAAGCTCCATGGCTCTCCAGGCTCCAGCTCTGCAGCTCAGCCCCTCCTGGATGGGAAGTTCTGCCCTGTTCCTGTACCTTAGGTCTAGGCTTCCCCAGGGCTATGCAGCTGGACCTGGTGGGAAGGGGAGGGCTGGGCAGGGCCATTTCCACACTTGAGTGCTTCTCTGTTGCTTTGGTTTTTTTTCTGTCTCATCCCTCAATTTCCAGTGGCTTCCAAAAGAAGTGCTTCTCCCCTGGCAATCAGGAAACCAGAGCAGGACCAAGGGGTGCAGGAGGGAAGCTTTTCCTTTTGATGGAGGATCTGGGCCAACAGTGAGATGGTTCCCAAGCCCAACCCTCGCTCAGCCTGGGCACAGATTTGACTGTGGTCCTACAGTGAGCTGGAGCCTTGCTCTGGAAAGGCATTTCCTGGGGCTGAGCTCCATCTGCGGCTTTGTTGAGGGCCTTCTCTCTGACTCTGGGACTACTTGGTGCAAAGGCTCTGAGGTGGGGCTCAGCCATGGAGGGCTGGGAGCTGGCCAGGGTGAGATCGCAGCACTGCAGAAGGCAGGGATGCCAGGCCCAATGGGAGGGGAAGGAAAGCTGGTGATGAGGGAGCCTTGAGGCCTGATTGGTGCCAGGAGCTATGGGGAGCTGGCTGGCGCCGACGCCTCCGACGCTTCTCATTGAGTTCCACCTGGTTCTGCCTGGGGAGAGGCGAAGGGACGGGAGTCAGGCCTGCGAGGAGGCCTTGTGGGTGCCAGACCCTGCCTTTCCTAGAGCAGGAATCGAGTCGCTCACAGATGAGAGGGTGAAAGGTGATGGGGCTCTCAAAAAAAACAAAAACAAAATAGGGCTATATTTATGCACACCTTTGAGTTGAGGAAAACAAAATTCAGGTAATTGAGTGATCTGAGCAAGGTCACACCTCGGAGGAGAAGCACAGGTGTGATCTGGGCCCATGCAGTAACGCAAAGCTGGGCGGGACACAGGCTGTCGTTCCCTGAGTTATCAGTGCCCATGGGAGCAGAGGAGGGGCCTGGCGGGAGCAGCTGAGATCCCTCCTTTCCCCACCTGTCCCCTCACAGGTTGCCTCACGGAGGGTCTGTGTGGGGAGAAGGACCCGCCCACTCAGAGAGAGAGAGAGGCAGGCTCCAGTAACAAAAAAAAAGAGAGAGAGGCAGGACAGGGAGTGGGTAAAGGCCATGGTCAGACCCTATGAGACGGCCAGGCAAGGCCAGGAGGAGGGGCGGGAACTCCTTCCCTCTGATCTTTCCTTTCCGTCTGGGTAGGGGCGGGGTGGGGGCAGTGCATACCTGGGTTGTCATGGTCCATCCAGGTGACTGTAACACGTTATCATAGACTGGGAGGCTTATAAACAGTAGAACTTTATCTCACACACTTGTGAAGGTGGGAAGTCTGAGATCTGGGTGCCAGCCTGGTTGCTGACTGGCGAGGACCTTTTTCTGGGATGCAAACGGTTACCTTCTGTGTCCTTACATGGCAGGAAATGGGGAAAGGAGCACTAATCCCATTGTGAGAGCTCCACTCCCACCCATCACCTCGCAAAGGCCCCACCTCCAAATACCATCACCAGGGGATTAGGTTTCAATACATGAATTTGGGGAAATACAAACGTTCAGTCCATTGCATGGTGTAACCCTTCTCAAACCACTTAATTACCTGGACTTTGTTTTCCACAAAACAGAGCCAGGGCCAGCCAGAGTGGGTCAGCCCTGCTGAAGCCCAGAGACCTGGAGGGCCCCTTTCGTGCCCATGTGGCAAGTGAGGCTCTCTGGATGAGGCAGGGTGGGAGGTCCCCAAGCTGGTCAGAGGAGCAGCCCCTCTCCATCCATCCCAGCTCTGTGAACTGGCTCAGGGCTGACCAAGACATCCTGCTCACAGCAATTTGCATATGAGAAGTTCCTATCAGCCCACGTTAGGGGTCTAGAGATTGAAAATCCTTCAATGAGGGGCTGTGCTGTAGTTTAAATAAAACCCAGACTCCTCATCTGGCTTTGCCTGAATTTCTGAGCTCCCCTCTCTCACTTGCCGCCCTGCGGGTTCTGCTCTAGCCTGTGGGCCTCCCTCCTCTCTGCTCCTGACACCTCCACACCCTCCTACCTTAGGGACTTCACTGCTCCCTCTGACTGCTCCAAGCCTCTAAGAGGCCTTTGTTCACAAGCCTGCCTAAGGTAGGCTCCTGATCAGCCTGTCTTGAGCCCCATTTATTTTTCCATTCATTTCTCCATTTTACTTACTGGTCTCTGAAACTACCTTGCTTATTTATTTGGTGCCTAATTTATTATCTGTTTTCCCCACTAGCATATAAACTCTGAAGGGAAGGGTGTCTGTCTTGTTCACAATTCCATCCTGCACCAGGCAGGAAGCAGGAGACATATTCCCTTGTGAAGTTTGAAGAGAGTTTAGTAAAGGGTTGAGGACAGGATAAAGGAAGTCAATAAGGGATGTTGAGACATCCAAAGACAGCCGTGTGGGGAAGTCGTTTCACAGGAAGGCAAGCCGTACTGCCAGAGGCAGGGCGAGAACACGCGGCCTGGAACCACGCTGCATTATCCATTGCCGTATATCAAATTACCAGAACTTAGGGGCTTAAAACAACAGACGTTTATTGTTATACTCTCTGTAGTCAGGATTGCAGGGCAGCTGAGCTAGGTAGTTCAGCTTTGGGTCTCTCAAGGCAGGGGTCGGGGCTGCAAGTATCAGAAGGTTTAACAGAAGTTGGCAGGTCCCCTTCCAAGCAAGGCAGCATGCTCGCCCCACAGCCTGTCCATGGGACTGCTTGAGTGTCCTTGCACCACGGCAGCTGGCCTCTCCCACAACAGGTGATCATATAGAAGACATAATGCCTTTGTTTTTTTTTCTTTTTCTTTCTTTCTTTTTTTTGAGACAGTCTTGCTCTGTTGTCCAGGCTGGAGTGCAATGGTGCCATCTCAGCTCACTGTAACCTCCACCTCCTGGGTTTAAGCCGTTCTCCTGCCTCAGCTTCCCAAGTAGCTGGGATTACAGGCACCCACCACCACACCCAGCTAATTCTTTGTATTTTTAGTAGAGATGGGGTTTCACCACGTGGGCCAGGCTGGTCTCAAACTCCTAACCTCAGGTGAATGGAGGGCAGTGGAGAGCTGTGCTTGTCAGGTCCTGGAGCAGTTACAGAGGTGCCTGGGGAGTGAAGATGGCAGGTGGTATCACTGCCTGATGGCTGAGAGACAGAGCAGAGACAGTGTTGGGACCCCTCCCAGGTAAGCCTGCAGGTCCACATGTCATCTTTCCTGACAGGTTAATGAGAAGCCCCTCAAACACGTTCTGCCCCAGGACCTGGGCAGCCTCTCTGGGAAGGTCTGGAGAGGCTGCTGCCCCGGCTGCACTCATAGTCACCTTGACAGTGCCACATCCCACTCCTGCCTCCTTCAGGGATGGGGGAGGGCTGCAGTGAGTTGATTCTGCACACAGCCACTGAGCCTTCCGCACGTGACTGTGCTGCACAGGTGGGCTGGCTCCAGCGAGAAAGAACGTGTGTCCTCCAGATACTGAGGGGTCTTGTGGGGCCACAGGCAGCCAAGTTAGACCAAGGCGCTAGAACTACAGATAAGCACGGTGCAGAGGCCCTCCATCCCTCCTCCCTGCTCCACGCTCCCTCCCTCTCCATTCAGTCTGCACAGACTGCTCTTCCCCCTGCCGTGCCGTATGGTAGGGAATGTGGCTGGCTCTGGCTCCCAGGTAACTTCTCAGGGTTCCAGCCCCTGGGAGTTAGGGTATGTGTGTCTCAGTGTTAAATCCAGCTTCCAGGGAAAGGGCTAATTGGCTGCAGTCTGTCAGCGCCCACTTCTGGACCAGTCCACGGCAGGGTCTGGTTGCACGGGACCTATGTGACATATGGTGCCTGTTGTCACAGAGCTCTGGGCCAGGGTTTCATCAGGGCACTTGTCTGCTCTGCACCTGGGAGGCAGCTGTTTCTCAACATTGAAACCACTCAGGAAAGACAGTTCCTCCTACTCCACCTCCTCCTCTTCCTCCCCTTCCCCTTCTTCCTTCTCCTTCCTTCTCCTCTTCCTCCTCCTTCCTCCACTTTCTTTCTCTCCTTCCTCCTCCTCCCCTTCCTCCTCCTCCCCTTCCTCCTCCTCCCCTTCCTCCTCCTCTTCCTCCTACTCCTCTTCCTCCCCTTCCCTCTCCTCCTCTTCCTCCCCTTCCCCTTCTTCCTTCCCCTTCTTGCTTCTCCTTCCTCCTCCTCGTCCTCCTCCTTCCTCCACTTTCTTCCTCTCCTTCCTCCTCCTCCCCTTCCTCCTCCTCCTCCTCTTCCTCCCATTCCTCCTCCTCCCATTCCT